ACTCTAATGCAGTGGTTCCTAACCTTTTTTGAGTCATGGACACTTTTGAGAATCTGGTGAAAGCTACGGACCCCTCCCCAGAAAAATGCACCTATAAGCACATAAACGCACAACAATTAGCATACAATGGGGTTTGCGGACCCCCTGAAGCCCATCCACGGACCCATCCATGGACCACAGGTTAAGAACCCCTAGCTGCTCTAATGTATTGCGTGTTTGAAACGGGTGCTTTGCAATTAATACCCAGCCCACATCTTCAAACATTACGCGAGTCGTTGTCTAAAAACAATATTAGCTAAGCTCGGAAACATGCATCTGTTCCAGTATGCGCTCAGATATGGAAGTTGAGGAAATTGATTGGTTGGTCTATGCGTGGTGGCAGTGTCATCTCTTCATGTATACATCAACTACTGTACATTATGTTGTTGGGCGGCATATATATTATTAATTAAACTAAAGTGCAGTGCATTCTGGTTACTGATATGCTTAGCGTTTGTCACTGGCAATGTATGCGTTGCTGAGATATTAATATAAGCTCGTAGCTTCAAACAGTCCACGACTTTTCGCCATTTACTAAATGGTGTATGCATGCTCACACAAAAACGCGCTCCTGGATGCTAAATGTATATGATTTCATCGGGATCTAGATGTCAATAAAGCTTGAATTATCTATAGACTAATTACATGTTACCTCCTGCCATGGAAAGCAAGATATTAATGAAAAGCGAAGTTACTTGTGCGGTGTATGTGAAATATACGCATCTTTTCGCGGTAGATTACGTAGTAACAATTAAGTGGAACAGATCGACACATGCTACTCGTGTTCTATTGACTAACATGTGTTTGTTAGTGTAAATCTTGTACATGAAGGACTTTTTTTTCTATGTACGTTAATTATGTTGACCTGCTTTTACTAAGGTTGGAGTTATTACTGCTCACATTAATGTAGGATTCTGCATAAATTATGTACTTTACAGTTTTACGAGATTTTCTTTCAAAAGAGACTGATTACTATTTGTTTTCTTTCAGGTTTGCATAAAGGATGGTTATCTTATGAAACAGACCAGTTCATTCCAGGTATGACCGTTGTATAACTGAAAATATTTGTAACCAAATGAAAATATTTTATGTTGAGTGATTGCCTATAGTGCTCTCGCATGTAAGCTAGAATTACGGTCTATGGCATGACTGTTTATTGAACTGCATGTGAAATGTCCTAATGTATACGTGTTTGATTTGAATATGCAGCGGTGGAGAAAACGATACTTCAAGTTGAAAGGAAGAAAACTTTACTATGCAAATGACACTAAGGTAATTCGTAAATAAATTAATGAATAGATAAATAAATAAATAAAAAAAGAAATATATATATATAATAACGTATTAATGCTTTGACTAATTCACGTATGTTTAGATGCAGTACAAAATGTATTATCAGTATATATTTTTGGTTTATAATTTAGTGAAGAAGTAATAAAGTTAAAATCTGTGGTGTAAGTGCATAATTTACTGTGTAGTTTAACTAGTAGTAGGTCATGCACTTTTAGTGTAGGTCATGCACTTTCATACCAATAAAATAATTTTTGCATCCGTTTGCTCTGTAAATCGTTTCATTGTAAGTCTCCAGAGGGTATAGAATTAGATATATGGGGTATGTGTGTTTTTTCAGTCCGTCGTATTTGATGAGGTTGACCTGACCGATCTCAGTGTGGCAGAGTGCAGCACCAAGAATGCCAACAACAGCTTCACGGTGAGTGTACATACACGGACATGCGCACGCACGCACGCTGGCACGCATATACACTATATATATATATATATTTTATACATATATATATATACTGCGTTCGGGTGCTCTTACAGCAATCTATATTCAGATAGTTAGTTCTCTCTCAGCTCTCTCTCGGTGTTAAGATAAGTTGACAGCTTCCCCTTTCCTCTCCTCCGCTCCCCTCCCCTGCCTTCCCCTCCCCTCCCCTCTCCTCCCCTCAGACGGTGATATGCGGACGCCACCTGAGCTGAGATGTGTGGCTCAGGCTGGTGAACGGGTGTCATTGTCGCATATAATGCGCGGTTCTCGGCGAAGCCTAATACCTTAAGCCCGGCGCACACGTGGCGATTTTTATCGCCAGTACTGGCGATTTTAATCGCCACGTGTGTGCATGGCCTTAGTACGCGCCGGGGATAATACGACATGTAGGGCGTAAATAAATCTGCGCGTTGTGTGTCCGGCGTTAGCGTTACAAAGCGAGAAGCGCGTTGAAGGTCGTCGCATCGGCATCCGTTTGCCCTACAACGGGAAATATGACGATCGCGCCGCTGTTAGCGAATTGCTACAACACATATTAATATCGGTAGTGTATCGTGTATACCGCCCCCTCACCGTAATACGAACAGACCCACGCGTAATGCTTCGCTAACAAATATGTAATTCGCTGCGCGTACATTACGCGTTGCTAATATCTGCGAATAGCCGTAGCGACGTATTTGAACGTGCGCGCATGCATGGATGGGGATTCAATGTGTTGCGTTTCATTATGCAATGGAAGCTATTCATAGAACCGGTGTCACTGCTGTTGGCGTCGTCCTAATTGCCATTAGTGTGATAACTTGAGAATGATTGTGCGTAGGAAATGGAAATGTAATGGCAGTCGGACATGGCGCCACGTAGATATTTTTCAGTGAAAACGATTTGGTTTCATAATTGTTTTTTCCTTATTATGATGATGTTTTTTTACGTGTGTCCATTGAGAGTCAGAAGCAGAACAATAATTAACCAGCAAATACACCGTTATAATGACAACGTCGCGTGCCAGCCAAGGTTAATGACAATAATTAAAATATTTTAATTAAATGGTGTGTGTTTTTGATATCAAAATCAAGAGCTATCAGGAGAAATTATAAACCTGAAATCCTACGCGTTGGAAAGTTTTTTGTATAGGTCGATCAAAATTTAACAATTAGGCGAGCTCATCTGAGCGTTTTTCTTGACAAAATACGTATGAACATCATTCGGAAAAAGCAGTCAAATTAGTAATAGTATACACAACTGAATATGACCGTGAACGCGCGCCAAAGATTATAGCTGTTGTATTGAATTTCGTTTTTTTTTAGATATTTCCCTGACTAATTTGATTTGTACTAATTACTTTGTGTTAGTGTGTTCTACAGTGCTCTTTCTCTTAGTGTGTATAGTATGAATGTGATGAACATGTGTCTCATATCATGTATACTGCTGGGTCGTGTGGCTTTGTTACAAAACGTGTGAATTCGCTGGAGACTTATAGGCGTATAGGCGACGTGTACGACAACTTGTCAATCCTGGCTACGCCTCCTTGCATGTACGTATCTTTCTCTCTCTCTCTCTCTCTCTCTCTCTCTCTCTCTCTCTCTCTCTCTCTCTCTTTTAGTA